ATTCTGAGATTAGCAGGTGATTGGTGGAAGGAAAGAGGAGGCCTGGAAAGTCCTGGGGCATGTGCGGTTCTCTTCATGCCACCTCATAGATCACATGTGCAGGTACGGGGGGAGTGAGAATGAAACACGCAGTGGAAATTCAGGCTGTGATGTCAGCTAGCAGCTTCTGCACAGACTCTAGTTGGCCCCATTGGTTCCAACCTATTTTAGTTTTGTTTTACAAGTCGAGAGAGTTTCAGCGTCTCAGCAAGTTGTTTCTTTTCTTATCTGCCATCCTGCAAACTCAAGAATTTCTGTTAGTCACTGGTGTCTAACTGTTTGGGGCATAGGTTCGCTTTCACACACCTGGACTAAATGTTCAGGACTGATAGTCACCATTGCCCTAAACTTTGAGGAGCAAAATCAAGGAGATACACAACCAGGGTCCAGTGAAGCCAGCATCTCTACCCCACAGAGCAAGGGCCAGCCCCAGGGAGGCCCCGGGCACCTGGGAAGCTGGCCTCTTCCTGGTTCCCAGACTAATAACTGTCAAGGCCTGTCCTGGCTCAGACCCCAGACACCTCTGTAGAAAAACGGCGTGGACCATCCATAGATGACACCAGTCCTGCTTCATCTGAAGACATCTGGGAGCAGGAAAACCCCAGAAGGAGCGATACTCTTTCATCTCCACAGAAACTTAAGAGGCAAAAGCAAATTCAGTTCAGAGGCTCCCCACCCACATGCCTGATCCCTAGTCTCCTTGCCTAAGGCAGAGAAAATGGAGAAGAGAGCTGAAGGAGGAAAAGGCCCGACCTTCAGCAGCAACTCCCAGCACTTATGGGGGTAGAGTTAATGGCCTTGCTCAGTGGCTTCACTGCCATCTCTGAGCAGCAGAAGGGCTGGTGAAGGAGTAGGTTAAAGATTTGGTGGTGGGAAGTTTGGGGAGCTGCCACAGGACGGCTTCTCCGATTTCCAAAAGAAGGAGGAGAAGCGATCCGCTAAAAGGTGGGAGGATGGGAGGTGTGCAGAGTGGAGGGTAGAAATAGCCATGGGGGAGGGCTGGAAAACAAGTGGACTAGAAAGAGCTGGCAGGAGCGCTGGGCACTGTTAAAGACCCAGCTGAGGCTGGTGATCATTAATTCATAGCGGAACCGACTTGTCCAGCATGTGACTCTCTGTAGCAATGGCCAGCAGTCTGGGAGGCAGGGAAAGAAAAGGCAGATCATTGGGCTCATTTGCTGCTGTGACTTTGCTAGTTGGGCACAACCAAATGGTAAAAGGATTAAAGTGTAGAGTATTGGCAACAGAGGCAGAAATAATTGCCATCTCTCAATGGAAATTAAATGATGGCTTTTTAATTTTAAAAAGGGTCAACAGACCATAGGGGCCAATGAGGCTAAGGATGGTATCATGGAAAGAATGTTCATGTCCCTTTCGAATTTACCTATCAAAGCCCTACCCCTCAATATGATGGTATTTGGTGATGGGGCCATTGGCAGGTAAGTAAGATTGCATTAGGTCAGGAGGGTGGGACCCTCAGGATGGAATTAGCAGCCTCATAAATAGAGGATGAGATGTCAGATGTGACTGTGCACGCCTGAAGTCCCAGCTATTCAGGAGGCTAAGGCAGAGCCCAGGAGTTCTGGTCCAGCAGAGAGAAATTCTTTCTCCCTCCACGTGTGTGCACTGAGTAAAGGTCATGTGAGGCACAGAGAGACCAGGCCATCTGAAGCCAGGGAGGAGGGAGAGGGCCCTCACCAGAACCTGACCATGCCGGCACCTGATCTTGGACTTCCAGCTTCCAGAATTGTGAAAAAAAAAATTAATTTCTGTTTTTCAGCCACCCAGTCAGTGGTATTTCATTATGGGGGGCCCGACTGACTAAGACAAATGAGCCAGAAGGATAGGGTGCTGGAGTCAGAGCATGAGAAGTCAGTTAGAGATTCATTCATCTATGCACTCATATGCCAGAAATTCTTGAGATTTTGGAGGTAGAGATGGATTTCCCTAAGCTGATGGCAGGGTTGGAGTGGAAAGGACAACTATGAGACAGGTAGCGGAGTTCTGGATGGATGAGGCTGTGATCTGGAGGCCAAGAGGTGGGAGCCAGGAAGAGAGACAGGTTTCCATGACAGGAGGTGTCACAAGTGGGAGGGGTAGTGGTTGAGAAGCTGTAATGGTGGGGAGCAGCCTCCCCATCACCCTCTCTCCTGTGTGAGAGAGGAAGAGGCAGGAGGTAGAGCACCTTCCAAGCAGTGCTGAGGACATGGGTGCCCCTGCCGGCGTTGGAGCCACTGTTCCAGTGACACAGGGTATCGCCTGTGGTGGAAGTGGCTGAGATGGGGGATAGGTCAGTGTTGCTGGAGTCAGTGGGGACTGTGTCAATGCAGAAGAGCAGCTGGCTGGGGAAGTGTGGGGGCATCTTAGACTTTAGAATTGAAGTAGAGAACGCAGATGCACAGTACAGTGGTCTTCATCTCAGAGGGCCCTGAAGGGGGTGGCCACTGGGCTGCTCTTGGGGAGAGCCAAGGGAGCCCCAGGGCCAAGCTCTTTACCCAGGACACAGGCCAAGAGAGCAGCCAATCAAAGGGCTTTCCTCCAAACCTGCTCTCAGATCCAGCCACTCCCCGGTTCCACTGCCACCAGCCCACTTTGTCGTCAGAATGTTGTGAGGATAAAATAAGGTAATAAATGCTTGCTATTAATTAATTTTATCATTGTAATTATGTCCTGCCTGGTTCATCTGCTTCTACTTTCACCCTCCTCCAACACATTCTTCAGATAGAGAGTGATTTTTAAAATACAAATCTATGGCTGGGCACAGTGGCTCACACCTGGAATCCCAGTACTTTGGGAGGCCCAGGCAGGAGGATCCCTTGAGCCCAGGAGTTTCAGACACGCCTGGGCAACATAGCATCTCTGTCTCTAAGAAAAATTAAAAATTAAAAAACATACAAATCTTAATGGACTTGCTTAAAGAAAAAAGAAAAGCAGTGGCTTTATTGTCCTCAAAACAAAGTCCAAAATTAAGGCTATGGTCTCACAAGCCCCACCTGTGTCTGATTCCTCAAACTCCCAGGATTCCTTCCAGCTGCAGCACCTGCCCACTGCTGGTCATCACCTCAAAAGCTCTTCTGCACCCCCTGCCCACCTTCTCTTCACCTGGTCTCTGGTTCTGTTCTTAGATGCCTGTCCTCAGGGGGGCTTTTTGCCCCCATACACTGGGTCAGCTGCCTTGTTTAACACAACAATGTCCTCTCCTCTTCATGTATGGCACTTCTCCCAAAGTTCTGCAGAGCAGTTTGATGGCTACAGAAGAAGTGTGCATCTTTGGGTCCAGCATGCAGGGCACGGGATGTGGGATCTCCCTGGCAGATCGGTGGGCCCATGAACAGGTAAGCGAGTGAGCCACAGCCCAGGAGAGCATGAGCCAGGACCAAGCTTGAAGATAGCCTTGTTCTGTGTCTGGCAGTGAGCTGGGGGCTGTTGGGGTTTGGGTGCAGGTTGGCATGCCTCTCCTATCTTCCTTGAACTTGGGGGCAGATTGCTGGACCCCTTTGCCTTTTATCCTCAGCCAGAGCACATGAGATTAGAATTATCATGGATCCATGTAAAGGGAATTATGAAATCATCCATTCTAACATGGAAAGGCTGAGGCCCAGAGTAGGAGGGCTCCCGCCCACAAGGCCTGAAATCTGAGTCCTCCACTGACCCCACAAAGCTAACCATAGCACTGAGTAATGGGTCCACTGCTAGCAGGTCCCTCAGATCCGGGCTGTTCTGTGTTCTGTAACACCCTCTGGGGGATGGTGGTTCAATATGTGCCGGCCACTGCCTGGCCCAGTAAGGCCCCTTTTCTGTTGTGCTTCTCAGAGTACAGTCAAGATCAGGCTGCATATCTTCTCCTTTGGGGTCCCAGAGGCCTCAGCAGCCGACCTCTCATCAGTGACTGCTAAAGGACACTTACCCATTCATCAGAGCAAACCACAGGACACTTTTAAATACACACAGAAAAAAAAATCTTTCTCCCCAACCAACCATAATCCCCCCAAAAAGAAAAGAAAAAGTCTCCAGGGGCCAGGCGCAGTGGCTCATGCCTGTAATTCCAATACTTTGGGAGGCCGAGGTGGGCGGATCACGAGGTCAGGAGCCTGGCCAACATGGCGAAACCCCATCTCTACCAAAAATACAAAAATTAGCCAGACTTGGCCGTTCCAATCTCTTCCTGGGGATGACAATCATTCCGTCTTGAAGGGAGCACGTGTCCACATCTTAGAGGGGGAAACTGCCTTTAGCTGGGAAACGGCCCTCTCCCCACTTCTATCTGGTTTTCCCCACCCCTTGGCAGTTTCAGCCTGGGAGACACATTGTGCCCAGAAAGATTTGCTAGTATTCCCCAAGAGGACACCATGAATGGGCACACAGTAGGAAGCTAAATAGAGCTTTTGTCCAGCGTTTCAAAGCTGAGAACCGTGAGTGAGAAATATCCACGTGTTTGGAAGAGAGGTGCTGGACACTTCCATGCTGGGTTTACAGGAAACTGGTCCGGCACCTACGCCCAACCCAGACCCAGCCATGTAGGAGAAGGTGAGCAAGCATGAGGGGCTGGGGCATCTGTGAGAAGAGAGACTGGATCCTTCTCCCTAGTGGGAGGTTAGCTGGGGCAAGGTGGGGGCAGTGGCCAGGCAAGCTCTTTTTCTACCATTTGGTGACACAATTATATATGGTGTTCTTGTGGGCTAAGGAGGTGCTGAGGAAGGCAGTCTGGCTTGAGGTCTCTTTATGGGCGCCCATCCAAGAAGGCCATCTTTTTTTTTTGAGACAGAGTCTCTTTCTGTTGCCCAGGCTGTAGTGCAATAGTGCGATTTCGGCTCACTACAAACTCTGTCTCCAAGGTTCAAGCGATTCTCCTGCCTCAGCCTCCTGAATAGCTGGGATTACAGGCATGCACCACCACATCGGGCTAATTTTTGTATTTTTAGTAGAGACAGGGTTTTGCCATGATGGCCAGGCTGGTCTCAAATTCCTAACCTGAGGTAATCTGCCCGCCTCAGACTCCCAAAGTGTGTGAACCACCACACCCAGCCAAGAAGGCCATCTTCTTCTAAGGTCGGGGCTTCCAGCTGTAGGAGAAGTTGTGGGAGCAATGCTGGGTGGGGCTGGAGAAGGGTCCCAAGAGGAGCTGGGAGTGCATTGGGAGCATATTGCTCATTCTAAGGAAAAATACCAAGGCCTGAGAGGATCTCTGAGAAGCCCATGAAGATGCCCTGTGGAAAAGGCAGCTTTCAGAAGCCTGACAAAATGCACCAACTGGCATTAGCCAATGTGCACCACAAAGAACTGCAACCAGCAGCAGCTCGGTGAAAAGACCTCTGCCCTTTCCCTCACCCTGCATGGGCCCTGGAAGGTCCAGAAGCAGCTGAGCATGAGCAGGAGGAGGTGGGGTAAGGGGGGGAGCAGAACAAACCTCCTCTCCTTCCCCAAGCTGGTCCCTGAGCCACACATAGGTTAGGCATGAGCTGAGTGTGTGTGTGGGGGGGGGTTGGGCGATCTTTGAAGTGAATCCACGGTAGAAATTTTGATTTAGGCTGAACTGAAATCTTCTCTCTGTACAACCCAGTGACCTATGGGGCCATACCTTAGCCAGAGGGATCTGATCCATCCCTTAGAAGGAACCATAACCTTCCCTTTTTCCACAGCCTTTCTATCCACCTGCCTGGGTAGAGTCCACAACTTCACATTTGTTTCCTCTCCCCTCCTGTCCCCACAACTTGGAAAGGGCTTACCTTGTGTTCTGTTCTGAGCATCACTGTGTTTTGAGGGCAGGGGACTCCAGATTGAGGAGATCAAGAGAGCCATACCTTGTGAAGATTGTTAGAGGGCAAGTTAATCCCAAGACATACCCAAGATCCTAACCCAGACAGAGTATTGGGGGCTGGGCTCCAGAGATGAGAAACGCGAAGGAGGCCGAGAGGTCCTGTCCCAGATACCTCCGGGATTGGGCTCAGCAGGAGGTGACAGCCATGGGCCAGGTTGTGGTGTGCTGCCTCCATAAGCAAGGCTGGTCTTGCCCTGTGTCCCTGTGGGTCCTGGCCATATCCAAGGAGGTGTTTAGGCAGCTCCCTGATGCTGACAGTCCAGCTCTTAGAGACCTCAATCAGAAGTATGTACTGCTCACAAAGGTCACTCCTGGGCTGGAAGTTCTTCCTGTGGCTTCTGTTTCCTTCTCTGAGGGCACTGATTTGGGGGACCTAGAGGGAACAGAAGACTGTCATTGGCTGTCCAGGAATTGGTCCCATGACAGTGTCCCTCACCACCCCCCTTCTCAAGGTAAGGGGAATCTGAACTAAAGCCAGCCAGATGTCTGTGGTTCTGGAGGACCTCATATTAGCCTCTAGGTAACAGTGGACAAGTGATGAGGTGGAGGCCTGGGCATACAGTGTGCGTGGCCAATGTGAGACCCAGGTCGTGGTTTCAGAGCAAGCAAGCAGCTCACCATGGGTGAGGCCCCAGCTCCAGGTCCTGGAGGGTGTCTTTCAGGGCCTGGCCACGCGTCTCTGGCAGCAGGGTGCAGAGCAGGCCGGCCACAATGGGGAGGCTGCCGTAGATAAGCATGGGGAGGGCAGCATGGTACTCTCCCAGCAGAATCACTAGTGGTGCGAGGATGCCCCCGATCCGTGAGAAGATGCCCACCAGCCCCATGCCTGTTTGCCTGGGAGAAGACCAGGGCAAGCTAAGTAGACCTGGGCCCAACTCTGGGCCTCAGCTTCACCCCAGTATATTTTCTCGGGAGAGCCCAGACCCCAAAGGTCTGCAGGGTCTCCAGCCTCACCCACCCCATTCAGCGCTCCTGCTCTCTGCTCCTGCCTCCAGCTCCTGCTCTCTGCCTGCTACACTCCTGCTCGTCTGTCAACTCTCAAGTCAGGAGGCTGTACATCCTTACCACCCTCCCACCTGAAGACATCCTTCTCTGGGGCCATTCATTCTTAGATGTGTCCCATATTCCTGTCCCGACCGCCAGGGTGTGGCCTGCTTGCCTGTCTGTCCTCCATTATCCTGGGGACAGCTTGAGGGCTTGGTCTAGATTTCTAGTTGTCCTGGACCCTGCACAGCACTGCTGCCCCAGAGCCAGCCCTGTCAGCTATTTGTGGAATGGGGTGAGGGCCGAGGAGGGACAGCCAAATCAGTCTCAGCAGCAGAGGAGCAGGAGTCACACTGCAGTTCTTACCGGAGGATGGTGGGGAAAAGCTCGGCAGAGTACACATAGGAGATGGTAAACGCGGCAGCTGTGGCCATCTTCGCCACCACAGCCAGCACAGTGACCACCACAGGCAGATCTGGCAGAGGGTAGACAGTCCCATCACCTGGGCCCTGCCGCCGGCCCCATCCACTGAAGCTCCCCACCCCTTCTGTACCCAAACCCCCGGGAAGCCTTTACTCCTGGAAGCGGAACAATGGCCACTGGTCTAGCCCCTGACAGCCGGCGGGTGAGGGGGAATGGGGTGGTACCTGCTGGGATGAAGATGATGATGATACACATAAAGCCACCCAAGACCAAGGTCCCCAACTGGCTCCACTTGCGGCCAAACCTCTGCATCATGAAGATGCTGGAACAGCGGGCAGGCACCTCAACGGCTCCAAAGATGAGCTGCGTCAGATAGATGTCCAGGCCAAAGTCCCCCACTTGGAGGCTCAGGCCGTAGTACCCCAGACTGTCCACAAACCTACAAGGTAATGAAGGGCTCTTGTCGCTGCTGGGCGACGAGACACCACCCAGAGGGAGAGCCTGCCTTGGTCAGCAGTCACAGCAGGGGACACTGGCACAGCCAGGGAGAGACCATCCCATCCAGACAGCCACCAGCCCACCTCTCTGACGACACACACCAAGGAGGCTGCAGCCCTGTGGTTCTGTCCTTGGGCTCTGGGCACTCACCAGACACAGAAGATAATCAGAGTCACCTTCCGGAGCTGGGGGTGTCTGAACAGATCCAGGGCATTCCCTGAGGGGCCTGTCTTCTCTGGGACCAGCTGGGAGGAAGAAGCAGAGTGAGAGGCCAGGCAGGAAGGTCCACGTGGGTCTGATTCTGGGCCTGGGCCTGCTGGAAGTACCTGGTTCATGAGCTCCGGAGAGAGTTTCCGCCTGTTGGCCGAGGCTGCCCTCTGAATCAGTTGTTTCGCCTCGTCCATCCTCCCATGGGTCAGGAGCCACCGTGCAGATTCTGGCAGAGCCCTGTGGGTCAGCAATAGCTATGACCTTGGGGCCTGGAGTCCTAGGGAGCTCTCTGGCTTGTTCCAGTGCAAACTGAACCCCACACCCAGCTATAACAGGCTTCCTCTCCCAGACTCGCCTCTGACTGTCCTGTGAACGTGGGCGCTGCACTCCAATCCCACCACAACACAACTAACTTGGGGGGGACTTGCTCCTGGCATGTATTTTCCTCACCAGAAGTAGAAGAAGAGCAGTAAGCCAGGTGCAGTGCCAGTGATCTGAAGGAGCCTCCAGTTGCGGAAACCATAGGCGAGTCCCGCGAGCACCATCTGCCCGAGGGAGAAGGTGCACTGGGCCAGGACCACGGCCTGCGTCCTCCATGTGGGCCCCACCCACTCCGTCACTGTGGGAATGGAGAGGTTGAGACAGGGCTAATCCCTGCCATTCACTCCCCATTACTCCCAGGTGCCACCCTGTGGGGGCTGGGCCTCAGGGCCAACACAGGAAGCACCAGTGCGACCACTTCAGATGTGGGGTACCTGACAAGACCTCCACAGGCCATTTGGGGCCATGGCCCTCCCAGACCCCTGGGCCTCACCCTGTGACTGAAGGCTCCAAGGACCAGACACTCACGTAGGGTGACATTGCTGAAGGCAAATCCAGCGATGGCAGTAGCCACAGCAAAGCGCAGGGCCATGTAGAGCTCAAAGCTGGGCACAAAGGCTGTGACCAGGCCGATGAGGGTGAAGAGGAGGAGCTGCACCAGGATCGTGGCCTTGCGGCCAATCCTGAGGAAACAGGGCAGGTCCATGGGAAGTGTCCCTCCCGGAAGGCATCTGAGGAGAAGGCCGCAAGGGGGCCCAGCCCTGTCCTGGGGTCTCTTTGTGAGGGAGGAGACACGGCCCTTCCCTGAGCCCCGTTTGAGGGTAGGGGGAGGAGGGCCTTGCCCTAAAGGCCAGTGTGAGGGGCATAAGGGGGACTTGGGCCTGTGCCAGAGCTGACGAGCTTGCTAGGCAGGGAGTGGGCAGGGCAAGGTTCTTACCGGTCCCAGAGGGGCCCAAACATGAGGGTGCCAACAAGGAGCCCAGCCATGAACACTGACTGTGTGGTGTCCTTCAGATGCTTCCGATCACAAACCAGGTTGAACTGAAGGAGACACAGGCAGATGTGAGTCCAGGGGCTGCACGGAGGGCAAGCCCTACACCACCTGGCCCACTACAAACCCTTCAGCGAAGGAGCTCATGGTTCCCAAACTGTGTACTGAGGCATTCCGGGGCACCATGGTGAACTCACTGAGCATGGCAGGGCATTTCAGGTTTTAAAGGGAAATACAAGTTGACATCTCTCTGACATCACACAAACTACTAGCTCAGGATAGTTCACACTTTCAACGTGAGACCACGCTACTTTCCTTCCAATGACATCATATCTATGTGAAATCTGACATCATATCTATAGGAAAGTGCTTTTGGCAGTTTTTGTGAAAGCAAATGCCACAGAAAATCAATGTGGAAGAGAAAGTGAGGGCGGCAGTGTTCAAGGACTGAGAAGTTGTACAATGCCCAGTAAGTGCATACAGCCTATCAGTAAGTTATTGTGCTTAAGAATAAAATTAAAATATTTTTCCATCAACGTATGTGTTTATTCCAAAAAATAACTACTAAGTTGTTAGGACATAAACACTTGTTTGAACTTAATGGCTTAATACATATAGCTGTTAGGCATTTCTTTTGGCCTGGAGATGCCATGTAAAATTATTGACACACTAAAGATGCAAATTTTGGGACCCCGTGACAGACCATTAATTGGTGCTTCCTAACAAATGGGGCCGCTTCCCCATAGCCAGGGCACCCCTGGGACACACTTGGGCCTCTCCATGTTTTTCCACCTGGCTGCAAAATCCCCCTGAAATACCCACCATTAACAGGCAATCAGAATCCTAAGAAGCCCTCACACATGCCTTGAGGAAGGCGATTAGATCAGAGGAACACACGCACATACACATGCACACACAGAGGGAGGGAGGGAGTGAGAGAATGTGCAGGTGTGAGACAGAGAGAGACACAGAGAATGCTAATCCACCCAAGATCTATAGAGAGAATCTCACAGCCTAAGAAACCAAGAGGAGAAGATATTTAGGTCCATACCACTCTGTACGCATGTCTGCTGAATGTGCACTTGACTCACTTGACTGACCCCCATCCCGCTGGGTTGTGGGCCCCTCAGGGAGTCCCGCCATGCCTCTTGCACACAGCTCAGTTCCACACACAAATGTTTGTTGGGGAACCATCATGCGAGCTCTCCTCCAGCTTCCCAGCAGCAACCTCTAAGTGCTCACCCTGTGCTAGGTGCTTGCTAAATGCTTTACATGCATGATCTCACAGAATTCTAATAATAATCCTTCACTTATCATCTTCCTGAGAAAGGAAATGTTAAGCAGCTAACCCTCGGTCCCACAGCTGGATGGCAGCTGGTGGAGTTGAGACATCTCTCTTGCCCTAGACAGGGAATGAATCTGAGTAAAGGCTAAGAGGATGTCTGCTGAATGAATGAATAAATGAAGAAATAAACTAATGCCTACAGCTAGCTAATTAACCAATCACCATCAGTTAAATAACTTTTAGCAAGAAATTAACCAGTCCAGGAGTTACTGTTGTGCTCATACTTCTGTTCTCAAGGACAACTGTTAATTTTCAAGAACTTTCAACACGTATCAAGTGATGAACTGATCATTCCTGAGAATGAAGTGGGGAAGGACAGGGGACTTGAAATTGTTGCTCCAGCCAGTTCTATCCTGTTTAGTTTTTGTCTAGCAGCCACAGATTGCCTTTTAGTAAGATGGCATTTAAAATAACTAGTAATAAAGGCCTACTGTTGCCAGGCTCAGGAGTCAGAATTGAGTGGCTTTGTGTGACCTTAACCCTGTTAGCCCATCTGTCTGTGTCTTGATTTCCCACTTACAAAATGTGAATAAAATATGCTACATAGTATGACCTGATACAGTGAAAGGAACTAACACTTGTAACATGGTTAGCTCAGTGGCTGTGTCACAGGAAGCTCTCAGCACCTGTTATCTAGGGTGAGGCTGTGCTCTGGCCTCTGTGCTCACAGAGCTCTCAGCTGGTGGCAGACAGCTCAGACACAAGGGGGTGAAGTGCTCCCTGGGCATGAGCGCCAAGCCACGGAGTCTTCTAAGGCTGGCACGCCTGGTCCACAGCCACCATTCACTACCTCTCTTCAGTTTATATACCTGCTATGGCATTAAATCCTCATTCTAACCCCATAATGGCTTATCACTCCCTTTGTGCAGCAGCAAAGGCTGAGGCTTGGAGAGGCGCCGAGATGTGTCCAAGCTCTCATGGTGTTATCATGTTGCAGGTGGTAGAGATGAAGAGGGCTCCAACTTGGGATGCCAGTCATCCTCCTCAGCCCTAACTCCCACAGTGGATGGTTCTGTCTGCAGTCTGCCATGGTGGTCTGCAGAATCCCACCCTCATTTCTTGGAGCCTCCCCAGCTTGGATCCCTCCCCTATTCTAAAACCTTCAACAGCTCCCTTTGGTCTCTAGGAGAAAGCCCAAATTCCTTAGCACTATATCTAAGGCCCTTGAAGAGCTAGCTGTTGCCTATTTCCCAGCCTCTTTTGCTATGTCAGCATTCCTAAATATGCCAGGCATTTTCAAGCCTCCAGAACCCAGAAAAGGTTGTTCTCTCCGCTTCCCCTTCCCTCCTATTCCTACTTCTTTGGTCCCAGGACAGATCACATGATTGTTGCTATTCACTGATGGTCTTCCCACCTTCCCATTCCAAGATCCATGTAGACAGGGGAGTCATTTTTTTCTTCTCTTTTTTCTTTTCTTTTCTTTTTTTTTTTTGAGAAAGCATCTCCCCAGGCTGGAGTGCAGTGGCATGAATATGGCTCACTACCAGCTCAAACGATCGTCCCACTTCAGCCTCTGGAGTAGCTGAGACTATAGGTATGTGCCATCATGTCTGGCTGATTATTTTATTTTTTGTAGAGATGAGGTCTCACTATATTGCCCAGGCTGGTCTCGAAATCCTGGGCTCAAGTGATCCTCCTGCCTCAGCCTCCCAAAGTGTTGGGATTACAGGCACGAGCCACTACACTCAGCCCATTTTTTTTTCTTTTACCAAGGATGGACACGTAGGAAATGTAGGTTGAAAGGAGAAACATTCTGACCTTCAAGAGCACACAGCCTTCATGGAAATATACTTTTTTCTTTTCAAATTAGTATTGTTTGCATTTAAGTTTAAATATGAAGTCATCATTTATAATAAGGAAGCTTAGGTGTCAGAGAGAGTCCTCTGGGTCAATGGGCAGAACCTTCCTCATGGATGAAAACCAGAGAGAGAAGATCTCACACCAAGCCGACTGCATTCTGGAACCAAGCTTGGGATTATCATGTGGTTCAGGGCACAAAGCGTACATTTCCTTGGGAGTCACAGTCTTTGGAAGAGTAGGGGTGAGGACAGCATGATAGGGTAGGGCAAGAGGCCCAAGGTCCACCACAATGCCAGCATTGTCTAGGAGAGAGGTCCTGAGTGCCGCCATGCCCCAGGGAAAGGCTGAGGTCAACATCGAGTTTGAAATATTTAAAGTAAATACAAAACTATTTCAGCAATGCAGATCATTAAGTGTGCTGTTGTGAGCAATGATGCCATTGGTAAAACAGATCTACCGATATCCTACATAACAAACAAATTTACATCTGAAAATATACCAACTATTTCTAACAACTATGCGTCATGGTTATGGTTGGTGGAGAGTCATATGCTCTTGGACTTTTTGACGCTTCTGGGCAAGAGGGTTATAAAAGATTACAATCGCTAAGTATCCACAAACAGATGTTTTTCTAGTCAGTTTTTCGGTGGTATCTCCATCCTCATTCAAAAATGTGAAAGAAAAGTGGATGCCTGTTCTAACTCACCACTGTCCAAAGATTCCTTTCTTGTCAAGACCCAAATTCATCTCACAGATGATCCCTCTACTCTTGTGAAACTTGCCAAGAACAAAAAATGGAAGCCTATCACTCCAGACTGGCCTCGGACTGGAAGGCTGTTGAGTACGTGGAGCATTCTGCACTCACAGAGAAGGGCCTAAAGAATGCAGTTAATCCAGCCTCCAGAGCCAAAGAAGAGCCTCAGGGGTGTGCTGCTATGAACAGCTCTCCTGAGCCCTTTCAGCTCAGCTTGTGTTGCCATCACAGTAAAAGCAAGGTTTAAGTCAAACTAAGGATTAAAAATTAGGGCGGGCATGGTGGCTCACGCCTGTAATCCCAGCACTTTGCGAGGCTGAGGTGGGTGGATCACCTGAGGTCAGGAGTTCAAGACCACCCTGGCCAACATGGCAAAACCCCATCCCTACTAAAAATACAAAACTTAGCCGGGTGTGGTGGTGCATGCCTGTAATCCCAGCTACTTGGGAGGCTGAGGTAGGAGAATCACTTGAACCCAGGAGGCGGAGGTTGCAGTGAGCCCAGATTTCACCACTGCACTCCAGCCTGGGTGACAGAGCAAGATCCTGTCTCCAAAAAAAAAAAAAAAAAATTGAAGTTCATTCTCTGCAATAATGCCAAATGCCTAATCCTACCAACATATACTCTTGCAAGACAAGGCTCACGGGTATGGTTCCCCCTCCCCATTCCAATACTAGTTACTTAAGTCACTGTTTATTGTCAGAAAAGTGATCAGTGCTCGTTTGTTTTGTTGCTTCAAAAAATTTTTTGCTTGCATAAAAGCAAGGCATGTTTGTGATGACTCTCTAGCACACTAATGCCAATTGTTAAGCTGCTCCTTGGTTCCCCTCAAGAGTAATGTGGGACCTCTTAGTGCTGTTTTTTTTTTCTTGTTTTTGTTTGTTTGTTTGTTTTTTGCAGGTGTTTGTGTGTGAGGAGTTTATTTTTGAGTCTTTTAAAAAATTTATTCACCAGTGGACAGTCCTTAAGGGGAGGAGGACAGATTGATTCCACATTCCACCTCCTAGATCTAGTTTAGAAAACACATTCCCCACCTGCCTCGTTCCATAACACAGTCCTTTCTGAAAGCTGCCTTTTCTCTCCACCCTTGGGTGTTTGATGAAACTCACGAATGTGGGTAGAGTCTGTCTTGCCCTTCCTCATTTCTTGCACTATACATGTGACTGTGACTTTTGAGAAAATGTGCTATTTGCTGATTTATTTTTCGAAGTTAATTTCCAACTTCTTTCACTGATAAATGAAGGGAAGTATTGCACCTTTTGAAATGCACTAAATGGAGTGAGTTCATAATCTGACAAAAGAGTCTTTCCTGTCATTCTCTCATAAGCTTAGCATAAATGTGCAGCTTAAGAGTGTGTGACATGGTGTTCCCAGAATGCAGCTGAAGACCCAGCATGTAGAAGAAATGTGAGGGTGATGGTATCTATAAGACAGATGTCTATGGAGTGATAACACACTCTTTCAAGTTATGCAGGCCTGCTTCATCGAGGAGCTGAGGTTGGAGAAGGAGTGGGGAGAACACTTAAGAACATGGGAACCAGTCAAGGGACTCCCCTTGTTTCTGTTTTGCATTTGAGGAACCTTCCAACAGAGAAAATGGAGGCTCTCTAGTTTACCAGATGTCATGAATGAAGGCTCTTCCTAAGTGTTAACAGGGATGTTATTGGCTTATTTTGGTTGCAGTTCCCAATTGCTAAAAATGTTTAGGTAACTTTTTTCCACCTTCTGCAAATCCTAATTATTACCTTAGTGTCAACTAATGCTTTCTCACATGATAATTCTTTGTGTATGCATTCTTTTCAGATGTGTCAAACAATAACCAAAGAAAAGAGGTCCCAAATCCTTGAAAACATCCATCTAATTCTATACTCCTGCCCCTCCACCCTGACCCCATTGCAGGCACACCCACTGCTCCCCAGACATCCTGCCTGCTTCCTGCTGCCAGGCCTTTTCTGTGCTATTCTTATTCTCTGCCTGCAAAGGCCTTCCCCTCTTCTCTAGCAACATTTTTCTAGTATCCTGGTGCCTAGTTCACACATATCACCTCCTTCAGAAAGTTGCCTCCCCATTCCTCCCAACCAGGAGGAAGCAAATTCTGGGCCTTAGAACCCACCCAGCCCTTTATTCCTCTGCAAGGGGCCCAGACCTTTCCTGACCACTAGAGAAATAAAGTACCTTTCCCCTCTGACTTCCCTGCACAGTTAATTCTCAGGGGGCTTTGGCTGAATACGGTTGCATGAACAGTCCAACATGGGGTGTGAACAAGGCCTAGAGTAGTCTGTGAGCAATCTGGAAGGTTTTCTGGGCTTTGAGAATGATGATATTTGGCCAGGTGGGCAGACAGTTTAACACATATAGGCATACCACAACACGTTAGGGCTGGTGAAGGCTGGGACTGGCCATGGATATGATGCTGGGGAGATGATGGAGAGGACAGTAAGCGTCAGAAGGGGCTAGGCGGACCAGTCCCAGAGCCCGGGAGCATGCATAGGCTCCCAAGAGCTCCCTGTGGGGTGGAGTGGGGTGGAGTGGGGGAGAGTCGGGAGAAGGACAGGCAGGACATATCCGCAGGCTATCAGGCTTCTGGGAGCAGCTTTATGGTCACATATTAAAAAGTGAAAGTTAAACTTTGGTTAACACATTGGTCTCTGAAAACCTCTAAAAATAAATACTTTTTCAGCCATGGGGTGGGGGAGAAGTGAATGTTTAATCCCAGATTTTCCACCATAAAGAAGATGAGAATTATATAGATCCCCTCAAGCACCCATGCCCCTCAGGTTTCTGGACTCTCTGTGCTGCCTCCCACTCCTGTGGGAATCTAGACAGCAGGTGTCTGGCATGAGAGCCCCAGCTCCATGATCAATTCACTGCATTGCCCTGGCTAAGCCATCTCCTCATTCTGTGCCTCAGCCCCACCATCTGGGAAGCAACAGAGTGGGACTGGATGCTTTCAGAGGGCCCCTCCTGCTCAGAGGTGGCTAGGGTGGGAAGTTTTCTGCCTGCATCTCTCCTAAAAGAAGGAAGTTAGCAAGAATGAATGCTTAGTTATCCATAGGACAAGTCCTAGAGTCCTGGATGTTCTCCAGCGTCCCAAAGGCAGGCTGGCAGAGATCTAGAGAGAAAAACTGAACGGTGTGAAGCCCAGCAAGCAGGAAGGCAGTGAAATGGACAGGGAAAGTGATGGCATTAGAGAGTTAGGAAAACAGGAACGTAGGCAGACATGCAGGGACAGACTGAAAGACAAAGAGAACTGGACAGACAGATGAGAACACTGGGTAGAGAGAAAGGCACAAAGACGGGAAAACAGGAGAGGACACTAACTGGGTAGATAGCCAGAGAGACAAGGAAAGAGAGGGACAACAAAAGGATGGGCAAAAATGGGCAGATGGGCAGACAGACTGGACAGAGAAGATGACAGGCAAATGGGTCAATAGGCAGAGGACAAAGAGGAAAATGAGATTGACAAAATGAAAAACATATGTGCCCATGGTTGACCATATGGGCATGGGGCAGATACAGAGCCAGTGACTGAGGGTAAAGAGTCAGGCACAAGACCCAACAGACCCACAACTGGTGGAGAGACCAGCAAAAGGAAAAGCCTACCTCATTCTTTAGGGATGGGAGCCTGTTCTCAGGATATTCCCAGCCCATATCACAAGGCTGCGTCTCATTGAAGTGGTGGCTGAGGATATCCTGCAGGCTGGCATTGGCAGCGGGTGGCCGGAACATGAGGCAGGGCTCTGGGTGGCCTGCAGTGTCCAGGGGCACGCTCAGTGCCAGCTGTTCAGCAGCACTCAGGTTGAAAGTGTGGTTCTTCACCCAGGCCACTGCACAGTGGTGGGGCTCATCTAGGACCATGAAGACATGGGCAAAAAAGTAGAAGGGAGACAGGAAGTTGAGAACACACAGCAGTATCAACAGTTGTATCTGGAAGCGACCAAAGTCACCTATTTCAGCCAGGACCTGGACAAATTGAGCCATGTCTGCCACTCACCACCTCCTCAGCCTGGGGATACTAGGGTAGCTCTGCAGCTTGGCTCTGGGAACTTGCTCCTCTGGGCAGTGGTGACAGCTGCATTAATGTTTAATCCAGCCTTGCCCTGCTCCACCTGTCACTCCTCAGCCCCCTAGGTGTGACCTGGGAAGGGCAGAGTATGATGAAAAAATAGTCCACATGGATGAAGCTGGAAACCATTATCCTCAGCAAATTAACACAGGAACAGAAAACCAAACACCACATGTTCTCACTCATAAGTGGGAGTTGAACAATGAGAACACATGGACACAGGGAGGGGAACATCACACACTGGGGCCTGTCGGGGGGTGGGGGACAAGGGGAGGGAGAGCATTAGGACAAATATCTAATGCATGTAGGGCTTAAAACCTAGATGATGGGTTGATGGGTGCAACAAACCACCATGGCACATGTATACCTATGTAACAAGCCTGCACGTTCAACACACGTATCCCAGAACTTAAATTAAAATTTAAAAAAATAGAAAAATAAATAGTCCACTCCAGCCCACACCACCTCTAATTGCAACATCCTAAACAATTCACACTCAACTCAAATGAAACAGGTAGATGGGTCAATCAATAGGCAGAGGTAAAACCACTACAGTAAAACGCTGACAGTAGTTGCAGCACTCGGACACAGAATTCCCTTCTAGGGACAGCCCGCACTGGGCAGCATGGATAAGCAGGAGAGCAGCAAGCACCTAGCCTGCGGATAAACTTTGCCAGCAGCCCACTCTGGCCTCTTGATCCTGATGATTTTTCTCTCCTGTGGGTGTCTGGTATGTGGTGATATGCAATACCTGCCAATCCTAGGAGGCAGCATGCAGACCAGGAGCCCCACCAAAAGCACAAGTGCACTGCCTTTTCAACACCAAAGACAAACCAAGAATACAGAGCAATGACAGAGTTGCATTTTGAGCTCTGCTTTAATGAAGAAGGAAACCATTAACACAACTCTAAAGAGGAAAACAAATGCAAGTAGCCCAGCCTCCCTGAGCAATCTCAGTGACAATGAACACAGGACAAAGTATGTCTCCACCACAGCCCACACACATACCAGGTGCATACACATATACATGTCTGCTTGGGTATGCATAAGAAAGCATTTTCATGTTCTGAATTTTGAACTATTTTAAGGGATAAGCAGAGGAACACCACTGAAGGGAATGCAAGGAAGCAATGTTATGCAGGGCAGCCCTGGCCACAGCTGCTGGTAGCCTGTTAATCAGTCAGCCTGCAGTACAGGTCAAGACAGGGCAGACAGTGGAGGGCAGAAGCAAGGCCTGACATGCTGCTCAGGGAGCATGCTTTGCTCTTTGCCCCACCCCAAGCTCTCCCGCCAGGATCACCACTGTCCCCAGCTCTTTTTTCCTTCACTTAGCTTCCTTGAGTGTTCTTATTCTCAGCATTGTCTCTATTGAATAAACAGTTGCTACCAGTCGCCACTGCCTAGTCTGGTATTCCCCTTATGGGAAAGAACTGAGGTGGAGACAAGTCTTGTCCTCTGCCCTCATCATCTCCTCACTCCAGTCAGAAAAGGAATTTTTGCTTTGTTTGGCTCCAAGCAACCAAGGAAGCTAGAGCTAGGAGGTAGGAAACGGGAGCCCTGCCAGTGATTCACCCTGAGAATCTGTTCCTTCCTGGCTCTGGCCCTCAATTGCCCCATCTGGGTAAAGGATGGTCTCTAAAGATTCTTCCACTTCTTGGTGTACAGTTCTAAAGCAGAGAAAGAAAGAATGATTAGCAGACTCCTGACAAGAGTGAGGCCTGATCAAAGACCTCCCTAGAGTCAGTCTCCAGCTGAACTATGATCCCCAAACCTTGGAACTGAGGCACCGAATGTCACTGGTCTCACGTTACCTCTACGTTCCCCAAATCCTAATGTTTTGCTTTACTTCTTCCTCCCCTTAACTTTGTCCTCCCTTCCTCCCCACCATATTCTGTAAAGACTGCCAGACGCTCTCTGTAATGCTTCAAGGCCCATGACCAGGTATCCTCTTTGAAGCTGTCTTCCTCATTTTCCTCTTTGTACCTGCCTTCATTCAAGGCCACAGCTAAGACCAAAGAGGGGTGTAACAAGAGTTTTCTAACCAGCCGAGCAGTTTTAAGTGGAATGAATACACTCTCCATATGGGAAGTATCAGGAAGATCACTGGCAACCATGTCCAGGGAGCAGAGGCAGGTGTCCGTGTGTGGGGTAGAGGGAGAGGGAAGTATTCCTCAAAGATCCCCTACAGGGATGGACTAGATGATGTCTCAAATCTTTTCCAAATTTGCAATTTAATGATTCTATTAAATAAAAAGTTGTGGTAAGACTTCTGGTTTCTGGTCTGGCACATAAGGAGCTTAGAAGTTGCCACTCCTTTTTAACAAGTAAAATGTTGAACAAACTGAAAAATGAATAACTCTTCTTAGATCTGTCAGTGAAGTGAAGTCACAAGCCAAAAGACTGCCCCAAAAGTTAGAGACACACAGGTGAATACAGAGAATTACAATTTAGGCCAGGCGCAGTGGCTCATACCTGCAATCCCAGGACTTTGTGAGGCTGAGCGGGTAAGATCACTTGAGGTCAGGAGCTCGAGATCAGCCTGGCCAACATGGGGAAAACCTGTCTCTACTAAAAATACAAAAATTAGCTGGGCATGGTGATGCATACCTGTAATCCCAGCTACTCAGGAGGCTGAGGTTCAAGACTTGCTTGAACCTGGGAGGCAGAGGTTGCTGTGAGCCAAGATCGCAACACTGCACTCCAGCCTGGGCAACAGACTGAGACTTCGTCTCAAAAAAAAAAGAATTACAATTTACTGGACCAGAAATCCACAAGAAACCTCTGCAGGAACCAGTACCAGGATAAGAAAACCTGAACTGTAACTGACAAATTGCTGGAGACGCAATGTAGATTACTTTGAGAGTTAAGAACTCCAGAGAAAGGCCTCCATATTTCTGTGGCTTTTACTTCCAAGAGCTCTATTGGGTTCACACAGTGAATATCAGAGAACAATTCTCTTATGCTTCCAGCAGGGAGAGGCAAGTAACCATTTGAAATAAGCCAGAGTGTTCTGTTTTGTTTTGTTTTTTTGAGAGAGAGTCTGGCACTGTCGCTCAGACTGGAGTACAATGGCGCAATCTCGTCTCACTGCAATCTCCGCCCACCGGGTTCAAGCGATTCTCCTGCCTCAGCCTCCCGAGTAGCTGGGATTGCAGGTCCCCGCCACCATGCCCGGCTAATTTTTTGTACACTCTCCATATGGGAAGTATCAGGAAGATCACTGGCAACCATGTCCAGGGAGCAGAGGGAGGTGTCCGTGTGTGGGGTGGAGGGAGAGGGAAGTATTATTCCTCAAAGATCCCCTGCAGGGATGGACTAGATGATGTCTTAAGTCTTTTTCAAATTTGCAATTTAAAGAGAGGGTAGGAGACTGAGAAGCACTTGTAACGTTCGCAGTGCAGAGACACAGGCTCACTAAAAGACCGAGACCTAACCACAGGACCATAGACTGCTTTCCCTCTCCCCACAATTTACCACATCATTAAAGGCCTATTTACTGGAATTCCCTTTACCCAGTACACATCATGTCTAGCTTTCAACAACAGATTACAAGGCATACTAAAAGGCAAAAACACCGTTTGAAGAGACAGAGCAGAGATCAGAACCAGACTTAAATCTAGCAGTGTTTTGGAGCAGTGTTTTGCCCTGTGACTTCACTTCTTTGACAGATCTAAGAAGAGTTATTCACGTTGGAATTACCAGACTGGGAATTTAAAGCAACTATGATTGACATGCTCTTAGGAAAAACTCAATTTTTCCTCTGCTCTCACACCAACAAAATAATTAAAAACGAAGGCTTCTGTGACCTCCAAATATGTGGGAATTTCTCCCCACCAGCTAGGAAGCAATCAATTCTGTAGCCAACACCAGCTGGGTTTCTTCCAACTCAATTCCAACACTATCTACTTGCAGATAGCATCAGACCCCACAGGTTGAGGGCTAGGTCTCCAAGACTGGTGTTCCCACTTTCAGACACCAGTCACAAGTCTGGGCCTCTGGAACTTCTGACAGACCCACTTAAGGTGGGGTTCCCCTGACACCTCTTTGGGTTAATTTGCTAGAGCAGCTCACAGAACTCAAGAAAATGCTTATGTTTACCAATTTATTATAAACAATATTTAAAAGGATAGAAATAAACAACTAGATGAAGAGATACATAGGGTAGGGTCTGAAAGAGTCCCAAGCACAGGAACTTCTGTCCCTGTGGAATTGGGGTGCACCACCCCCCCAGCATGTGGATTTTTTTTTAAGACAGGGTCTTGCTGTGTTGCCCAGGCTGGAGTGCAGTGCACAATCATAGTTCATTGCAGCTTCATACTCCTGGGCTCCAACGATCCTCCCACCTCTGCTTCCTGAGGTCACTGGGATTACAAGTGTGTGCTACTGCACCTAGCTTCCTGCACATGGATGAATTATCGTTCACCTTCCCTGTCACCCTCCATGTGTTCAGCTCCCTAGAAGCCCCCAGTCCTGTCCTCTTGGGCTTTTTTGTGGAGACTTCATTCAATAGGCATGATATGAACAGGAGCATGGACAACCATGTCAAAATGTGATTATACAAAAAGGGTATGATCTAAACCCAGCAAGCTCTGTCTGTTCAGATTCTTTTTGGCCACTCTGTGTAGCATTCCTTCCTCCAGGATATAGGGCAGGTCCCCCCTCTGGAATGAGGGCCTTTTATGACCCACAATCAGATTAGAGTCCTGCCTTGGGCAGAGAAAAGGAGACTGGAGAAGGTAAGAAAGAGAGATTGTGTTTACTGTAACAAGGGTTTATGGGAGTTATGGGCCAGGAACTATGGACAAAACATACACACACACACACACACACACACACACACACACACACACCCCAAAGATGCTAAGGGCTCTAATGGAAAGTAGACAGCATACAAGAACAGATGGGCAATGTAAGCAGAGAGATGAACATTCTAAGAAAGAACCAAATAGAAATGCTAGGGATCAAAAACACTGCAACAGAAATGAAGAATGCCTTTGATGGGCCTATTGGTAGACCGGACATGCCTGAGGAGAGAATCTCTGAGCTTGAGGATATCGCATAAAAACTGCCAAAACTGAAAAGCAACGAGAACAAAAACTGAAAGGTGAAAAACAGAGAATAACCAAGAACTAAAGAAAAACTACGAAAGGTGTAACATGTGCAATG